CCCGGGCAAAGACCTCGACCGAGGTCTTCCCTCTATCATCAATCGGATACCAACTTCGACCACCCAGGCAGTTCTCTGCACGGTCGGCCAAAAAATAGGTCGAGCAAAAATTTCCCGGCGACAAACATACAAATGCTATCCATACATAGAAAACAAGAAAATAAATCACATGCAGCATAAAAGTAAAATTACTACATTCCCAAAAATGGCGGGCAGAGCGCATTGTTCAAGAATTACAGAAATGACATGCAGGCTAGAAATAAACACATAAAAAATAGGCACGCAGGCCAGAAAGACAGAAACACTACAACACTAAGCGGCTTCCTTTTCCTCATGCTCATCGCCCGCCTCGGCTTGGTCGTCATCTTCCTCCTCGGTTATTAGCGCGACCACGCGACCCTCGAAAACTTGATGAAAGAGCCTCGTCCCTTCAGTGATGAACTAAACATCTGGGTTCACGATCCAAATTTGTTCCACCGCACAGTCAAATCCCACCTCGAGGGCCCCCATGCAGTCATGCTCGAGCTCCCAGATCCTCGACACCAGAGCCGCCCGAGACACCATGAGCTTCTCCTTAGCAGCTTCTTCCTCAACAGGCTGGAATGTTGCTTCCAACTCAGAAATCCTTGCCAAGAGTCTTGTCCTCTTCTCACCAACGACATTCAACTGCTTTTCCACCTCATCGTGGAGCTTGAGTTGGGCGGCATTCTTTTCCTTGGCCTGGTCGAGATCAGCCGCCAGTTTGTTCCTCTTAGACTCGACGGCCGTGAGGTCGTCCTACAACTTGGATAGGTCGGCAGAAAAGCAAGCTTCATCGTTGAAGACTAGAGTCGTCTCGAAGAACCGCATCACCGCGGCCAGGTCCTCTGACAAAGCTTTCTTCCTCGTCTTTCGGTCAGCACCCAGGATGGCCTTGGACTCGGCGGCGTCCACAACTAGGGAATTGGCCTCACAGAAGAAACCAGACTGCAAATAGCATGGAAGGAGCAAGAACCACTCCTTAATATTACCCTCGGTGAGGTCGACAATCTCGAACTCGCTAACCCGCGGGCTCTTTGATGTCCTCTGCAAATATGGAAACTGGCTGCCTTGGGGGGAAGAGGAGGAGCCACCGGGCCTCTGGTCAAGACCGGGCATTTTCTGTACTTGGGCAACTCTCCCCTTACCATCTTTCTTCACGCCTCTGTTGGCTGCCAACCACTTTACACGCTTCTGCATGCTTGGAATTTCTCCTGTAAAAGAAAAATAAACAAACCAGCAAACCGCAAACCAACAACGAAGGCACAGAGGGAGCCCGAGAAAAAACGGACCCACTACCTAAAAAACGCATGGCTTCCTCCTCGAACGCACACTCGAGGAGGGCCTTTGTGTTGATCAACCGCGACTCCTGAAGAATCTCCCCCGTTCGAGTCGAGGATAAAATTTCCGTCCGGCGTCACACACTTTGCGGGAGTGAAACTGGAGACAAATGCGACCAGCTTCTGGTAGGCCACCTGGTCATCGGCATCCAATGAGCCCTCCCTCACTATGTAGTTATTTGTGCCCTTGTCAAAATGCTCCTCTGTCCAAGTCAACATGAACTTCGGCACTAAGACCTCCTTCGGCTGTCCGTCTTTCTCCCGGACGTTGAGGTCGAAAAATGAGTCCACAGCCGTGTGAGTAACGGGTTTGACAACGTAGTACCGGTCTTTAAAAGTGAGGATGGAATCCAGGTATGCCTGAAACAGTCTCCTCGGCTGCTTCAAAGACACCTAGCTGTGTCGACCCTCGAACATTTTTCGTTGAAGATGGAAGATGCAGAAGAAAAGAGTGAGCGTGACCCCGACATTGAGATGTCGACAAACAAGCTCGTACCCCCGCACGAATGCGATTGCGTTCGGATGTAGTTGCGAGGGCGCCAGCCGCAACCAATCAAAAACTCCCCGTTGAAAATCAGTGAAGGGCTGACGTAAGCCCGCTTCCTGGAAATTAAATTCATACATGGGGAACCTCATCCCCTTAAAAACCGAGCATATCCGATGGTTTACTCGGGATTTGTACACCTTTCAGTTCAAGGGGAAACCATTACAGCAGTCCTCGACCGTAGCATAGGCATCAGACTCATCCACGACAAAGCAGGAAAAAATACTCAGGGGATCCTCCCCGGTCCAATCCGCGGTTGTCCGATTTCGCTCTTCGCTAGCCTGCGCTACCGGGAAATCAGGCTTGTCGTCAATTTCAACGACCCCATCAATCCAAGTGGCCATCTTCACCTGAAAAGCAGAGGAAAACGATGAATTCAATACTCTAGATAAAATTCAACCTTCCACTGCAGATTAAGTGAAAGGGCGAATAGGGGGCACCCCCAAGGGGAAAGCCTCCCCCGCCTCGACATGCGAGAACTGGGTCCCCGAGACTCTGATCCAACGTCCCCGAATATCCCTTCCCAGGTCCTCGAGACCTTTAAGAAGTCCCTGAGACATTCATCTTATGACCCCGAGTCACTCATCCTATGTCTCTAGGAGCTTCATCGCCTCTCCTCGAGAGGTTCATTCAGAACAATACTGATTCAAAGAAGTTCCGGCGTATTCTCCGGAAACTTTATAGTTTTCTTGGGACATTCATCAAGCCCACCGATTTCTGGAAACTGGGCGACGATGTCTCCGCGGGGGAGAGCATGATGGTCGCTCCCTTTCGAGCATCCCTACTCGCTCGTTCTGCTGAAAGATCATCAGGTTGGTCTGGTTGATCTTCGTGAATAGAGTCACCATGGTAGGGTCGGTGCCTGCTGGCACCGGGATGAATTGGCATACAATCGGGTTGTCGAGGCACTGGGCGAAGTTGAAGGTCGCGTCCTCCGAGGAGAGAGAGGCAGTGCGCCCTTCCTTGTAGTTTCCCTCGTCGTTGCGGACGGTCACGTTAGAGTCGTGGTCGTCCCTGTTGGTGAAGGGGACAAAGGTGATTTTCGGAGCATTGTCGTCGCGTGGGCTGGCCATGACTGGAATGGAAGTTGAAAGTTGCTTTGGTTCTTGAGTTTCTATGCTTGGATAGGAGAAAGAATGGGGAAGCAAAGGGTTCCCACAGAAGGTGTCACTGATCTCACCTGATCAGAAAGGAATTGGTAGCCTGTCACGCGTCGTGAGTTGATGCGTTCGCCGGTGTTATAGAGGAGGACGGGGTATACCTGCAAGGTACTCTGATGCTTAAGTGAGTAACAGAGTTTAGAAAGAGCAACTTGATTAATCATCTTCATAACTTGATTAACCAATATTTCACATTTCATTAACCAACTTTATTTTACTAGTAAAAATTATTTTTATATCTGAGCGTTTATTATACCTGATGACGTGTCCCCGCGTGAGGGACACGTGGAGAACATGGGGAAAGCGCGCCAGTTTCCCCGTCAAGAGAGTCCCCTGCCCGACTAAGGAGCCTCGTTGAGGCTCGTGTCAGATAGAGGAGGATTGGGTCTTGTTGGGCCCCATCATCGTAGCATTGGGTTGGGTCTGCCCGGTTGAGGGGCAGGTCTCGGCCTAGTCGAGAACGGACGCACGCACACACACACGCACGCGCGCACACCACGAGCGCACGTGCGCGCCCCCACACACACACACACACATCCGCGCGCGCACACGCACACACCCACACCCACACCCGCCCGCTCGCACACGTGCGCGCACACACACACGCACACGCACACACGCAAATTTAGGAGTATCACATAATTAATCAACTTGATAACTTGATTAACCAATATTTCACATTTCATTAACCAACTTTATTTTACTAGTAAAAATTGTTTTTATATCTGAGTATTTATTAACCAAATTTATAACTTAATTAACAAACTTTTTACATTTTATTAACCACACACACTAATTTTTAACATTTCATTAATCAACTTTGTTTTACCATAAATGATTTGTGTTCATGCACTGTTTAGAGGATGTTGTTCATTCACATGTCACTATTTACATCACTCATATACGATTTTACTATTCACGGCACTGCACTGTTCACGTGAATGGTGCATTCAGTGTAAGTGTAAGTGTAGCTAGCAATTCTGTATAAGATATTGTGTCATGTAAGGTAATCATATCTCAAATTTGATGAATCACTATAACATAAAATGTAAATTTTCACATCTTTGTATATAATACACCCCTCAGAAATATATACAGTATATACACACAAAAAACTTGTAAACACATTTGCTATAGTTTTTTTCTTCTTCCAAATAGTGATATTGCAAATTAAACGAGTCTTTAATGTGGATATGCTCACATTGCACTTGAATTTTTACAGGTACTGTACATGCATACACCAATGTAATTCTAATTTGTATGGATGCGTGGAATTTTTAAAGGTCGAACCGATAACATCACCGACTGTAAGAGTGTTTAATGGTGCAAACATATTCTTTAGCTATTTTTCAAAACAAGCCCATAATGATAGCTAATAGAAGGTGAGTGATTACACAAACTTTGAGCAAAACATAAAAAATGGATTAAGCAAATTGCTCAGCTAATAACCTCTTTCTTGCCTCAACAGACAAAAGATGTATCATCCTGAGACAATGTTTTCCTACCCTTCACGGCCTCAGGGAAAATGAGCTTAGACTTTGGATTATTGCAAAGTTTGATTTCCTTCACGCGCACTTAATAATTCTCCACAATTCCTTTCAATGACACAGACATGCAAAATGAGTCTACTTTTGGGAAATGCCAAAAATCAAAATTATACATTATATTTCCCATTTTCGTCATCTCATTCATCATAGTCGATGGCTGCTACAGTCTAACCTGCAGTAGTAAAAGAGCTCCACATGATAAGAGGTTTGGCTTGAGTGGGAAAAAAGAGACATTAGTTGCAGCAAGAAAGTAAGACCAACCATGTGGCATAGAAAGTACATGTAACTTGCAAGTAATAGTGCATTAAAGCGTACAAGTGATAGTACATGTCAAATAGAACTTACGCCAAAAGATGGCCATTTAAAAGAGATAAATGTTACCAATCAGCAATCATGCTGGTTTTGCTTTCCATCCAGCTTTAGAGATGCGACGAAGCTCTTGAGTCCGACCCTTCATATCACTGCAACTTGCCCATAAGAATTATGAAATACTGGTGAAAAATCTTGATTGGTTAAAGAGAATTTAAAAAAATTTAAATGATACCTTTGTATCAAATAAAGAAAGAGATAGAACACAGGAAGTAGCACCAAGACCAATGCTCCAACAGCCAAGCGAAAGAAACTTCCTTGATCCTGAAGAAGTGAGGTATCCCAATTGATAAATAGCTTACAGATATGCATTCACTTTGAGAATAGATTAGTTACAGAGAACCCAAAATCTTCAGAACTGTGGCACCGCATAATCTATTGATTATTGAATAGACAATGTTCTAAAGCCTAATAGAAAAGCTTTCTGACAGAAAAGGAAAGCCCCGTGACAGAATCTTTGGCCTCAGATGATGATTTAAGCTTGCCAAAAGGCAACCATTCATGTCAATAAGGCTTTTTATTATGAATTTGTGAATAGCACAAGACCTTAAACTCTCAACACAGATACTCTACGAGTGGAAGTATAATATCAAATATCCTTGTATTACTTAAGTTAGCAATCCCATATTTGATGTCTAATAAAAGGGATAATGATAAACAAAAATTCCGCGTGAGATAATCAGGCCTTACCTTGCCTCCTCTAGAGAAGGGTTTATGTTTCCCCGAGCAGGAATGAGCTTCACAAAACTGGTGCAGAAACAACTCTACCAATGCACCAGAAAATCAACATAAGAAATTAATCCACAAAGAGTCGGATGTAAAAACTTCGAAGACGTTGAAAGAAAGAAAAAAAGGAGCGATCAGTGACATCATGGAGGAACATTAGAGTTAAGTGAAAAAGAAAACACAAGTATACCATGAAGGCGGCTTGCTGATGGACCCTCGCTTATAGGAAAACAACTGTCAGCGAGACTCTGATAAATAATGCATATGGATTAGGTGGAAAAGTTTATCTACAATGAACGTAAAAGTAAATGAAAGAAAAATAAAATGAAAGCAACCTCACATAGGTGACGATTTCTTGCAGCAGCTGCTGGATTACACTTGCTTCTAGAGGACTTGGAATTCATCGCAGCATCACAGTGTAATGCCCCACATAAATCAGCCAAGCATTTTTCATGACTCTGCATTTAAATTAACCCCTCCAAGCTAAGGAATTGTGGAAAAAATATTTTCTGGTTAAATTAAAAAATATTTTCCATGACCCTGTATTTAAAATAACCCCCCAAGCTAAGTCAAACTCAAATCAAACTTCCAACAAGTCTGTTTTGAGTTTATTAATTCCACCTACAATTTTATAATTACCAAACTGATGACATGCAGTAAGAAATATTCAACAAAGCCAATTGTTTGTTCCCTTGTCGGGAAAGAAACGTTGCACATTTTATGAGAGGTCAAATATAAAATCATATCTATGTTACAAGAAAATTTAGAAGAAACATTTGAGGGCGAGGCTTCACGGCGAGGGAGGCTGTCAACCCTGCCAGTCCTACTTCTCTAAACCATCAAAAGAGTCAGGAAACATACTGAACTATGCAAAATCAGATAGCTTCACGTGCTTTCGGCTGTCTATATTTTGGATATTGACCTAATCTGGTTTAAGTTAATAGAAACAGGGTATCAATGATAACAAAAAAAGACACGCTTACTTAAATCTAAAGAGAATAGAATCACATTCTGATACAACAGTAATGAAAATAAATAGGCGTCATCGTATCCAGATTTGACATGGAAAACATAACAGTAATACTTGTGAAGTAATATTGAGCATTCTAGCCCAAAGAAAAATAAGAGCAGAGATACTGAGTAAATGAAAATTAACATACTACATCCAGAAGATTGTAGTGCCTTTTCTCAAAATGCTGATCAATAAACTTTTCTTCACGGAAACTTTTCTTGCAATATCCACACCGCCATTCATTTCTGTCTAAGTAAATTTTATGCTCTTCTTGCTCTCTAAACATATCATTCTCAGGGTGAAGTCTGCACTTTTTCGAAAGCTGATAGTTTTCTTTCTCCACAAATGGTGTTAAATACTACAAAAACATATGCAGGAAACATACCAGTTCAGAGAGACAGGTAGTAGAGTAGCGTATGATGAAAATCATTCGTCTCAGAATACGCCGCAGACTCAATATTTGAATAACTTCTAATTAATATAGCTACATGATATATTAAGAGAAAATGGAATATGCACTAACAGTGTAAAATAATTTTACACTGTTAACCAATCACCATCATGTATTCTGTCATATCATACTGTATGTTTTAAGTTAATGGTATGACATGGCTGAGTGATGAATTCCAATGCATATCCATTAAACTCATATATTAAACCTAGACATTTATGATTTATCCCAATTCAAAACACTAAAATAATCAGTTCCAACAATGGTTTTCAATGTGATTCAAATTTTACACCATACCTCAATGTCATAAAGCTACGAATATGATAACGATTGTAAAAGGAATTTCCCATACCTGATCCATAACTTTCCACGCAGCCCTACTTCTATCTCTGGAGCAGCGCACTTCAGGAGCATCCTCCTGCTCCTGTTTAAAATTTCTACTATAAAAAAGAGAGCCAAGTGAAACATGAGACTGAATCATGTGAGACACTAATGTATAAATGATAAGACTAGTTTAAAAGCTAAGTGTATGTTAGTTTCATTTTGAAGGATGCAATATTGATTTCAGATTCCACAGTTCGATCCCCGCAACTGCGATCGGGAGGGGGTTAGAACCATTTGATGCCAAAACTGTCCCCCGAACCGGAGTAGTTGGTCCAGTGGGCCGGATAGTGGTGGGAAAAAAATTTCACATGGATAAATTTGATTTTGACATATTTGAACATTCTGGAGTAAAATTGATTTTAGTTCTAGAATTGATTATAAATAGAATCTACAATCTAAAGTGTTGATTAAAATAAAAATGAAAAAAATTGTGAATCGATTTCAATACCTTCCACCAGAAGATTCGTTGTGAACCTGGAGCAAACATTTCAAAAGAAAGATGGAAGAAAGCAAAAATTAACTTGGTAAATTCTTTTGGCAATAGAAATCAAACTCAAATGTTAATAATTTTTTTTATCAAAAAACCTAAACTTATAATCTAAAACTTCAATTAGAAATCTAAAAAAAATCATTATATGTGGCGTTACCTGGTTTTCGTATAAGAGAGGCGATGAAGAAGCGTGTAGGAATTGTTGAAAACGAAGTATTGACAAGAGGAAAATGGACGCAATTACTGAGACCTTCTTCATCTGCTGCTCTCTTTTTCTGCAGATTTGGAAACAAATAAGTGGATGAATTTCCGGATGGCTGAAGCTTCGATGGTATACTTTTTGTTTTTGGCAAATGATCGCTTAACTTTATATTTAGTTGAGATTGGTAATTTAATTATTTTGTTGGTAGTTTTTTTAACTATTTATATTAGTCATTTTTATTTAATTAACAATAGATTTTTTTTGGTTATTAATTAAACAAAAAAATTAATATGACATACTTCAATATACTTTAAAAAATTGAGGGATTAATCTTAATACAAAAAAATAATTAAAGAATCAATTCAAACCTAAACATATACTTAAAAGAAAAAAAATATTTAGCATTTTGTTTTTCTAATCTCTGTTAGTGGTTGTTTCTTTAATTTATTCTAAAATTTGTAATTATTTTCTCAATTGTAAATATTTAAGGTATAAATATATGATTCTTTGACATGTTTTTTATTTTCGTTTATATTTTTTTAATATAATTTTTAAATGTTATATCTATTTATTTTTCGTGGCGACGTTAATCTCCCGTTAAAAAAAGACGTAGTTACGAAGTTGATGATATTTTGTTTTTTATAAGTTTTAATTGTTGGTGCGACTTTGCTTTATTGTTTTTTAAAAAAAATTTCAAAAATCTTCAAAGAGTCTTTCACACATAACCAATGTAACTAGGGTTTTATAAATCCGAAACTCAAAGGGACCATAAGGAGTTTGTGATTGAAGTAGAATGAATATGACATCATTCGGTTAAGGTAGGCAATTGAGGAAGACTAGAGGAACACACACTTTATCCATTATCAACATGCAACATTCGTCGACGGTGGTAGACAAAGGGAGTTTGTGACTGAGGTAAAGTTAATTCCTTGTTTGTTCTTGAAAATTATAGGTGGAATTTTTAAGGATGGATTTTAGTTTGAATTTTTACTATGGGAGTAGATTTGTTAGGGGTTGTGTATTCTATTATAAAAGGGTAGAGTTGTCAATGAATCGAACCAACTCGAAAATAGTTCGGAACATAGTTCGACAATTAATTCGTTGAACTTCATGAACCTAATGAGTTGAATATGAGCAAAAAACTAAGTTTGTTAACTAAATGAGTAGAACTTGAACTATACATAGTTCGTCTCGTTAGGTTCATGAACCGACTCGATTATATATGAGAAGGATTATATTGTCTTTAAGAGTAACTTTAAAGATTTAATATAAATTTTAACCTTATATTTTATTTTAATCTAACGATTTTAATTGATAATTTATATTCTTAAATAAGAAATATATTTCTAAAAATAATTATACAAATAGAATTAGCATCATATAAATTAATTAATTTTTAAATTAGTAGATTTTTTATACAAAGTTATATTCCAATCTAATAACGTACTTTTATTTTATTTTAGTATTTTTTAAAAATAATATTAATTTAAAATACCAAATATAAAAAAAAAAATAGACTTTAAAAAATGACATTTAAGTCCGTGAAACAAGCAAGCTGAACCTAACGAGTCAAACCGAGTTGTTCGTGAACTTATAACGAGTCGGATTTAAGCTTTAAAAAAAGTTCGTGTCAAACTCGAACTAAGATTTGAGCCGAACCAATTCTTAACGAGTCGAGCCGAGCTGAGACGAGTTTGACTCGACTCAACTCATTTCCAACCCTACAAAGGGGACATGAACATGCAATAGAAGACATTGATCCTGATAAGTGGAGCTTCTTTGAAGCTACATGTATATTGAAAGAGATTAGTGGTATAAAAATATAGGTTATGGTGGTATAAAAATGATGAGGACAAATACAACAGAATGGTCAATGATAAAGATGCTGATGAGGTTTATGAATATGTCATTGAAATAAAATATGCATGCACTTATATGTTGATTATTATTTTAAAGGCATAGTTGGAATAAATGTTGAAGAAGATGAACAATGTGATGGTGGAATTAATGTTTATTCAAAATATAGGTTATGGTGGTATAAAAATGATGAAGACAAATACAACTGAATGATCAATGATAAAGATGCTGATGAGGTTTATGAATATGTCATTGAAATAAAATATGCATACATTTATATGTTGATTATTATTTTAAAGGCATAGTTGGAATAAATGTTGAAGAAGATGAACAATGTGATGGTGGAATTAATGTTGAAGAAGATGATCAAGGTGATGATGAAATTAATATGGAAGAAGGTGAACAAAGTGATGGAAGTGATGATAGTGATTATGAAGCTACTGGTATAACAATTGATGATAGTGAGAAAGATATGGCTTTTAGGTTGGATGGTGACTTTGACATAAATGATAAAGACGTTGATGATAATGGAAAAAAAAAGGTAAAATAAAATGTGTTACAAAGAAGCATATACACATTATAAAGAAATTTGTGAATGGTGTTAATAATCTAGGTTCATCTAGTTATGTAGATAATGAGATGAATGTTAACTATGCTAGTGATAAGCTTGGTAGCAGTGTCCCTGATGCTTCAGATAATGAGAAAGGACCAAAGTATGATAAGGGTGAAGGAGTTGAACAATAACTATTAGTTCAAAGTGGAATTGGAGTTTGTATCACTTTATGAATTTAAAGAAGCAATTATTGAATGGTCAATCTTGAATGAGAGAGAGATAAAATTTATGAAAAATGACAAAGTCAGAGTAAGGGTAACTTGCAAGGGCAAATGTGAGTTTTTGGCACTTGTAAATAAAGTTAGGAATAAGCACGCATATAAAATAAAGAGATGGTTTAATACTCACACGTGTGTTAGGGGTATTGAATAATAGCTCAGCAAATTCAAAGCGGGTAGTTAAGTTTGTGGTAGCTAGGATGATATCTTTTGTGGGTGTTAAGATTCGTTATATTATGTCTAAAATTAGGAGTAATTATTCTATTGGAATACCTATGAACAGGGCATGAAAGGCCAGACAAATTTCAAAAGATTTTGTTGAAGGTGATGCAGCAAAGAAATACAACTTATTATGGAGGTAATCTGCAGAGTTAATGAGGGTAAATTATGGGAACACTTGTGAGATTAATGTGGAAAGTGTTGGAGAAACCCTAATACCAAGGTTTGATAGTTTTTATTTTTTCTTTGATGGACTTAAGAAGGGCTTCACAACATCTCACAGGCCATTTATAGGAGTCAATGGATGTCATCTTAAGATCAAGTATGGATGGACTCTTTTTATTGCTATTGGCAGAGATCCAAATGACTAATACTTTCGCATAGCTTTTGGTGTTTGTGAAACTGCAGCAAAGGAGTCACGAAAGTGGTTCCTTACTTTGATTTTGGAGGACATTGTTCAAGAAAAAAGATGGATTATTATATCTGACCTGTTGTGGTTGGTTGAAAATAAACATGTTGATACTCTTTATGGTGGAGTATGATTGTCGGTGAAGACAATGAAAACTTATGTATTTTTTCAATCAAGGTGGAGACTGTTTAGGTTGGTTGAAAATATACATGTTGAAGAAGTCCCACATCGCTTAGTTTTATGAATGAAGAGAAAGTCCAAGGCTATATATAGGATTCAAGTTCTTTGTTCCAAGATGCACCAGTAAAAAAACACTTTAAGATTGTATTTGAATTTCTTTGTTCTCTTATGCTCTTGTATTAGAGTATTGTGAGATGTAGTTAAATATTTGTTTTGGAGGGTGTGGGTGTACTGGGTTAGTTGAGGGTATATTATATGATGTAACAATTTTCACATAATGTTATTCTCTGGTTGTCATTTGACAACGACCGTGGTTTTTTCTCCAATTTTAGAGTTTCCACGTTATGTTTTTGTGTTGTGGTTGTGTTCCTTTTTTCTTTATACTTTGTTTATTTTTTTCCAATAAACTAGTGTGGGGTGTGTGGAGGAGAAGATTTCGTCAACAAACTATTAGATTGAGAAATTCACTAGTGTGAATGATTTCGGTTTGTGGCGCTTGGAGATGCAAGCCCTTATTGTTCAACATGGTTTGTTAGAAGCGTTGAAAGGATCGGAGAAGATGGATGCTTCCCTAACAAAGAAGGATAAGAGAACGACGGTCGATATAACCCATATTGCCATTGTATTGAGCCATGGTGTAAGGTTCTTCGACAGGTTTCAAAGGAGAAAACTGCATCTGGTGTATGGCCGAAACTTGAAGGTTTGTACATGAAAAAATTGTTGGTTAATCGTCTCTACTTGAAGCATGTTTTGTATTCATTCCACATAAGTGAAGACAAAACCTTGGCTAAGTAGTTGCGTATGTTCAACAAGTTGATTCTTGATCTTGAGAATATCGAGATCAATATTGATGATGAAGATCAAGCATTGTTGTTGTTGTGCTCTTTACCTAGGTCTCATGCTCACTTCAAAGAAACTCTCTTGTATGTAAGAGATTTGTTGACCTTTGAAGATATTCAATCTTCCTTGTACTATAAATATTTGAATGGTCAAAAGGAGCACAAGCCATCTTCTGTTGGTGAAGGTTTGTCCGCTAAGGGAAAATTCTTGAAGAAAAATGGTAGGTTTGAGAAGAAGAAGGGTAAAGTTCTATTTAATTCTTATGGTGGTAATACTCCTGCTATTAAGTGTTATCATTATAAGAATGAAGGTCATATAAGAAAATTATGCCCTGGTCGACTAAACAATCATGGTGGAAAGGATAATGGTAATCCAACCATTGTGCAAGATGGTTATGAATCATCTGATGTCCTGGTAGTTTCAAGTTGTGACTCTAGCAAGAATTGGATTATGGATTAAGGGTGTACTTAGCACATGACTCCAAAAAAAGACGTGTTTAAGGAATTGTATGATTAAGATGGTGGATTAATGCTGCTAGGAAATTACAAAGTTTTCAAAGTTGTAGGTATTAGATCTATGTGATTCAAGCTCTATGACGAGTCAATAAGGCTATTAATTGATGTTAGGTATGTACCTAATCTTAAAAGGAATTTGATTTCTCTTGGTGAATTCGACAAGAAAGAATATGTTTTCAAAGGAGAGCAAAACATCCTAAGGGTAA